CGTCCTTTAGTAGTTTTTCCTTAATTTGTGCTCACCGGCCAATCTAATTATCACAGATGTCCGAGATTGTTTTCAGTGATCAAAAGAGCCCTGAGACACAATGCCATCCATGAGTTAAACTGAAAAACAAAATATTTAATCTTTGCGACACTTAAATAGAATGTGCATAATAATTTGGAACAGGGTGTACACTAAAGATGGAGATGGAATGGGGATGCTTTAGGCCCAGAAGCACGTGTAAGAAAAATGCTACATTTTGATTACATTTTATTCAACTCAGAATTAACATAAATAGAGTAAACTTTTTCACGTTTCTAGGATTAGCATGCGGGTCCGACTCACCTAGTGCACATGGGGTGCTCTGTTTGCTGTGTACAGGTGCCTCATAGTCCCACGATACATACACCTGCTCAGGATGCAACATTTTGAAGGGGATACCACATTGCAGTGTCCCATTTCACCAGTCCAGTTAGACTCCACCACCCATCCCCCAGTGACAGAGTGCATCCCATTCCGAACCAGCGAAGACCCCATGCACGCACATAATTAACTCTTTCATACTAGATGGCTAGGTCCCTCGGGTCTCCACCACACAGGTCCAGTCCTGGTTGTTGGGGCACTGGGGAGTTAGGCTCTGAACTTCTTCCCTACTATACATGAGGCCCGTCACTCCTGCCAGTACCACTCTCCTGCTGTTTGGCTGACATAGCATCTTTCTCTTGCACTTGCTCCTAGCAATAGCATGTCGCTACTTCATCCCTTGTGTGCATTGCAGCCCTGTTCTTCTATATGCCATTACCACTTGCACTTCAGTACCTTCAGAGCAGGCATAACAACATTTCAAAAGCTTTACTGTTAGATAACAGTTCAACAGAATGTGCAGGCTTTCCCTAATCCCTAACTACAGGCTTGTGTGCTGTCCCAGTATACCTGCTTAGGAAAGAATCTGTGGCTGACATCTTCTAAGAGGACTGCAAGTCCCAGCAATCCCCCTACATGTGGAAGACTCCATGACACAGGCTTGTAGCATCTTTGCTGGAATCAGAAACAGAAGCACTCTCCCACATCTTGCTGGTTGTTTGTGTCTTTCCTTCCCATGCAGCAAGCTGTGTGTTGTAGGACCACAAGACTCAACAGCCCCAGGCATGTTGGCAGGCTCCTTAGGCAGGTACTATCCAGTGAGGGCAGTCATGATGAGAAGGTAGTTTAAGGCAGAGAGGGTCAGAGCCCTCCAGAGGTTGCTGGAGAAAAGATGTCAGATGTCAGCCTGTCTTCTCCCATGTGGCTGGACTCATCTGGGCAGAGCTCCCTCCTGTTTTTCTATGTGCACAGAGGGGGGCAGAGTCCACCAAAAACTAGAAACTTGGGAATTAGGTTAACCCTTTTTCTCCCAGGCAGGCAGCAGATGCTAAGTAGCATTTCAACCTGCTTACAAGAAGTCCACTGATTGGCTTCACCAATGGTTATTGCCTGGAGTTGTCTTTACTGATGAAGTCCACTTGACTATGCAAAAAGGAAGTAAAGGCCGCAAAAATTGAAAAAGAATGACAGATTGCAAAAGATAGCAGGACCAACCCCCCAAAAAATCTTCAAATATATGAATAGTAAAAAGGTCCGGTCCGAGCATGTAGGCCCTTTACAAAATAATCTAGAGTGGGTGACAAAGAGAAGGCAAATTTATTAAATACCTTCTTCAGCTCTGTGTACACAAAGGAGCAATGGGGGAGCTCTTGTCCATAATGGGCATGGTATTGATACAGCCCCGGATGATCCACATTGGCTCACAATTGATATGATCCAGAAATATTTAGATAGAATAAAAGTGAATAAAGCACCTGGATTAGATGGCATACACCAACGGGTCCTTAAAGAATTGAGCTCTGTCATTTGGACTTGTCAAAGACTGTCTCCTGTCTTTTTTAAACGTATACTGTTAGACAGGTTAATTCAGTTGTTAATTAGCTGGCTGGCAAGTTGAGCTGGGAACTTTCTTTTTCTTTTTGACATGCATTGCCCATCCATGTGTTCCTTGCTGTAAAAGCCAGTTATAGACCGGGGCAGTGGCCATTTTTTGTACTGTTGACTTGTTGGTGAGGGGGTGCACTGGACACCCTGGCTGCCATTGTGCTACATGCTGGGTGTCCAGTGCATTCCTGTACCTTTAAGTAGGGTTGGGCTCCCTCAGGTTCACCTGCCCTTGGTCTATCCATTAAATGCATGTGCCTCTAATATGGGGATTCTCAAGGTTTGTAGAGTTAGGACCACAGATTATCAGGGTGATATGGCTCTGTAGCTTACTCATGTATTTGCAAATGTGTGCTAACTAAACCCGTTTTTAACGTATACTGTTAGACAGGTTAATTCGGTTGTTAATAAGCTGTCTGGCAAGTTGAGCTGAGAACTTTCTTTTCTTTTTGACATGCGTTGCCCGTCCATGTGTTCCTTGCTGTAAAATCCAGTTATAGACCGGGGCAGTGGCCATTTTTTGTATTATGTGATCACACCTGCGTAAAGTTTCTGGTTTAGAGTGTTGGAGATACAACAGATTGTACTATATAGTATTTTGTGTTAATAACACTTGACCAGTAGATGGCACTGTACACTAAGGTTACTAGTTGTGCATATGTGTAAAACTTGTTGGTTCTCTCTTCCTCTCTTCAAAAAAAAAAAAAAACAAGATGTCTGCTGAAATGTGCTCTGTATGTTTGCAACTTAAGCCACACAAGTAAAACAGAGTTCTGCCTCATCGCTACCAGTGTCTTCTCTAACACATAACCAACATAGAGGAGCCTGAAATACATCCTGATTCAACACTGGATCATGAAACAGCCATTACAAATGCTTAATCTATACACCCTCAAAAATGTATAGTTCTTATAGCCTCTTAATTTCAAGCGCTGCTCATTAGATCTGGCATATGATTTGGTTTCCATCTTCCCATACCATTTGGGACAGCTTTCATCAGTCTCAGGTTAACTATCCACCAAACTGTAGTGATCCACAGCCAACGTCACCAAAACTAAGCCTGGTGAATCATAACATTTATTGAGAATATTTTTACCAGACTTTTTACATCTCACAAAGATTATGATTTATCTTCTACATATGGATTTATGGAATGTGTGTATGGAATAAACCAGCCTATGTTGTCACACTGTGGTGCGAGGCAGGGTTTTTCTGTGGGTCCATGTGCAGTCTTGGATACCTGGCACATGGACAGCCTGTCCCAAGCGGTACGGTTTTGTTTGCTATTAGTTCCAGACTGGTTGCTGAGCTGTGGTGGTACCATGAGTTCCGTTTCATCAGTGACATCTTGCTTTATCTCTTCTTCATAAGGGTTGCTGTTTGACCTGGAGTGTTAATAGACAGAATGTGGAGTGTGTTGCAATAAATCTTGGCAGCAAAGCTCCAGATTGAGTACATTATTGTATTGTTCGCTGTCAGGGTTTATCACAGCCTCTAGAGCCTCCGCTTCAGCTATGGCAGCTTCTGCTTCCTCGAGGGTTCCATCTAGAAGTGCTCTCTCGGTGTCTTATTGTGCTTTCTCAGCCTCTAATCCTGCTTTCTCTTTGTAATCTGCATTTCTTGCTCAGCAAAGACCGCATGTGCTTTCGTGGCTTCAACTTTTGTGCAGGCAATGGTGAATACTTACACATAAGAATTTGGAGATGCTGAAGTTTTGTAGAGAGATGCCTGATGCTGTGATATCTTGTTGTTGTGGAAAATCTTTGCTGAGCATGGAGTGCTGGGTTGTTGTTTGTAGCTAGCTGCACTGAAAGGATAGCAGGACCCTGCTGTGTAGTTGGCTTTCTTCTATCCCACTTGGGATACATGATCCCCTGTGGCCTGTGTACACTTTGAAATACTGATAATCCCCTCTGTCTTCCAATAGTTGAAAAAGCATGTAGACATCTGTACAATTTATTACATTTTTTTCTGTTTTCTATTGAATTGCATTAGGTTATTATTGTTTTGCATTATGCTGACATCTAGTGGCAGTTTTTGTCTCTCCGTCTGTCCTCCCTTCCTCTTTAGTGCTAGTTAGTTCATTCTTAGGCTGGCCATACACTATACAATTTTCTGTCCAATTTATGCCCAATTTCCTTTAAATTTAACTTTAACTGTATAGTGCAAGGGCCTGCTTAATTGGATACAACTGAAAGTGTTGTTTGGGTTTGACCTCCTATTATATGGTTTTTGGTAAATCTAAAGCACAAATCTCAAGAAAACTGTATAATGTATGGCCAGCCTTAGTCTGAACATCCCCGTTTTTTCCATATGCCCTCAGTCAGCATTATTGCTTTGCAGAGACAGGTCTAAGGAAAGTCATTGAGGGAGATTTAATATAGCTGATGTGTACAGAATCTGGTGCAGCTGTGCTTAGTAACCAACCAGCTTCTAGGTTTTATTGTCAAAACATTATTGAATAAGCTGAAGTTAAAAACTCATTGGTTACTATGCACAGCTGTATCAGATTCTGCTTGCATCAGTTTTAATAAATCTCCCTCACTATCTTCTTCACATCATGAGACTGGAAAAATATCCTCTGTACTGCAATCATCTTAAAGTGTTACTAAACCCACAACAGTAAAATCAGTCTGTATATTCAGTAAATCATGCTTGTTATACTCACTGTGGAACCTGTGGGGTTAATCCTCTGTATTGTGTAAAAAGGCTGTTTGATCCTATCTTCTCTGATCCTCCCTTTTTTCCAGTGCCCCCCTCTTATCTCCTGATAAGACATCATGTGCACTGCATGTACTTTGGTATGTAATGCTAGAGAGGTTTGTTCTTTTTTTCTTGGTAGAGTGCATGTGATCAGCACAGGGCAAATCAGCACTGCCCAGACAGACGTCAGGGGTTCTACATCCTCCTAGTGAACACTGCTCCTACAAGCTTTAACCAATTCTCTGCTGGACACTAATAGAAGTCACAAGACTGCTATATACTGCTGATGAGAAAAGGTATTTAGCAGTTTATATTTACTAAAATAATTTCATTTCCATGTTCTGTGTACTGTGTGAGACCAGATATAGTGAGTGCAGGGTCCGGGGAGACCAGATATAGTGAGTGCAGGGTCGGGGAGACCAGATATAGTGAATGCAGGGTCTGGGGAGACCAGATATAGTGAATGCAGGGTCCGGGGAGACCAGATATAGTGAGTGCAGGGTCCTGGGTTTAGTAACACTTTAATTGTGCTGGATTCAACGTGTCTGCCTTATGGAAGAGTTAAGCTGCCTGTGGATGGTACCGGGTCACCAGGTGACCATACTGTCTGGACAGACTGGATCTATGTAGGCATGTCAATGCATAAAGCATGTTTGAAGAAGGAGTTAAGGGATGGTTGAAATTGGAAATAAAAAAAGAACCTACAACATGGAAGCCTATTTCCCAATTTTATGAGATGTGAAGGAGGGACAATTCTTAGGATGCAGGCAAAGGACAAATCCTCATGCCATGTCATAAGTTATGTGGACCAGGAAGAAATTATATTAAAAAATTGATTACACTCCCTAAATTTTTTTTCTTTATACTGGCTTCTCAAAAATAGAATTGTAAGATTATAAGTTAAATGGAAGGTTTAGTGTATTGTAACACTTTTGACAGCAAGATAGTGTGTGTGGAGGTGCAACTTGGTGCAGTGACAGTAAATACACAATTGTGGGAATAGAACTTGAATTAACATCAAAGTTAGTTTACAAACAGCCTGGTGGAAAGACACCCATCCGAGAACACTCACAGTATGTCTTGGCAATATAGAACAGAGCAGGTGCATCTGTCTCAGAGGGCAAAATGCGGCCTGGCTGGTCTGCACCCAAAAGGGAGGATCCCAGGAAGGACGGCATGTCATTATCCTGTCCCTATTCATCTGGAACCTTTTCCTATCACTATTCCCTTACCCTGACAGACAGGTGACCCATCCCTATGCTCCCCACTCACAAAATGAGTGCCAAGCCTGGGAGCCAGGGTCTTAAAAAGACTCTGCCTGATCCAAGATGGCTGCCAGAGTAACATGGGGCAGCAGCATCCAACCAGATCACTTCTCCAGGAAACCATAGAGGAGTACGTTCCTCTTGACTTCCTCTCCCTCTGCAATGCTGCTGCGTTTGAGCGCCACCTACAGTGGAGAAAATAGGCTGCACCTGCCTACAAGTAAATTTTCTAGAGGTCTATAGTTCAGACAAAAAAAAAAAAAAGCACAAATGATGGGGAAAGAGAAAGGGGGCTTTGGTTCCAATTGAAAATAGTCCCTCCATATGAGGGACAGTTGTGAGCTACGCAGAAATAGAGTATATACAATATAGTCAAAATAATAATGACCACATTCACTTAAGCTCTGGGGAAAATGAGTGCAACTACACTTTCAAAGTGCACAGTCTATTTGCCTTTAGTAAATCAACCGCAATGTGTCAACATGAACTCAACGGCACCCGCCAGGAAATGTAAAGGTGAAGTTTTACTTTAACTAAAGTAAACCATTTTTATTGCTGAGTTGGAAAACTTCATGGTGTTCCTGACGGAGAATTTGTCTCGCATTCATTCGGAATAGAAAATAAGTCTCGGTAGCTAAAAGATTTTTTTTTCCCCTTAGTTCATCGTAAAGAAAATAATCTCGGGATCTTCCAGTGCTGAAGAATTTAATCACATTATTTCTGCCTGTGCAGATGCATCTCAGACATTTGGCTAAATATGATCATTGCAGCCAGCAGATCAGCAAAAGGCATGCATAATTGTGCTCCGCTATAACTCACAGGACATAAATAAAAGGCAACCATTTCCAAAGAACAGGTAAAATGCTCAGAAAATATCTCTTTAGTGCAATGGCTCTGTCATCTGTTGCATAAAGGTCATAAGTCACACAAAGAGCTTTTGAGAGGCTATCATCATAGGAATAATGGTCTACAAACAGCCCAATCCGTACTGGGATGCTGAGAATATACATTATGCTCGATGGGCACACAGCTAAAATACCGAGTTCTTTTCTACATACTGTCACCTTACTGCCAAGAAAAATGCTTAAGGTGAAACTCCGGACTTTTTTTTCTTTTTCTTTAAAAGCTTGACTGCCGCACCATTGAGTATTCTGCCAAAAGTTATTACAGATATTTGCAATCCTAAAAATTGTACAATCACTATGTTAAAGAAGATCAGAACCCAAAGCGGATGACATTTGGTTTACTAAAGCATTTTATATCATTGCCATTTTTAAAAAATAAAATACAGTTTTCCCCTTTTTTTTTATATCCTTTATATTCCAGCCTCTAGGGCAGCAATGGGCAAACTACGGCCAGGTGGACCTTTTAATCCGGCCCGCGGAGCGTGGCAAACATCGGCTGTCAGAATGTGTGTAGGCGGGGCAGCGTGAGGAACGTGAGGGGAGCTAGGCTCCTCTCACAGTCCGCCCTGAAGACCGGAACGGCGCGGGAACACGGCGAGAGGAACGCGCGGAGCAAAGGTAAGTGAATTGACACAGGGGGGACTTGGCTTACTACTTGGGGGGGAATAGTACTGTGGGGGATGAAATACTATATGGGGGATGAATTAATATGGGGAATGAATTACTATAGGGGGGATGAATTACTATAGGGGGGATGAATTACTATATGGGGGATGAATTACTATGGGGGATGAATTACTATGGGGGATGAATTACTATATGGGGGATGAATTACTATGGGGGATGAATTACTATATGGGGGAAGAATTACTGTATGGGGGATGAATTACTATGGGGGATGAATTACTATGGGGGATGAATTACTATATGGGGGATGAATTACTATGGGCAGATGAATTACTATATGGGGGATGAATTACTATATGGGGGATGAATTACTATGGGGGATGAATTACTATATGGGGGATGAATTACTATATGGGGGATGAATTACTATGGGGGATGAATTACTATATGGGGGATGAATTACTATAGGGGATGAATTACTATATGGGGGATGAATTACTATGGGGGATGAATTACTATATGGGGGATGAATAACTATGGGGCATGAATTACTATATGGGGGATGAATTACTATATGGGGGATGAATTACTATGGGGGATGAATTACTATATGGGGGATGAATTACTATGGGGGATGAATTACTATATGGGGGATGAATTACTATGGGGGATGAATTACTATATGGGGGATGAATTACTATGGGGGATGAATTACTATATGGGGGATGAATTACTATGGGGAATGAATTACTATATGGGGGATGAATTACTATGGGGGATGAATTACTATATGGGGGATTCATTACTATGCTTACTATGGGGGAATATTACTATACTTACTATGGATGACACATACACATCATTCATCTAGTCTTGGTCCGGCCCCGGGTCCAATATATGAACCCATTGGCCCTCAAGTCAAAATGTTTGCCCACCCCTGCTCTAGGGTATTCACTACTACTTTGGCTACACACCATTGTTCGGGACTGTCTTCCTTATCCTTCATTGTTATGTGGTGGGTCTCTTATTTGGAACAAATGTGCATTTGTACAGTTTTGGTCTCCACAAGCTGTGAACCTGTATTGGAAACGTGAGTGTACAATCCAAACGCACACGTTCCTGCGTTAAAAATGTCTGTCTGCAGCGACCGTCGGCTGGAACTGAACAGAATCAGCAAGAGAAAATGTCACCAGCACACCGAGGATCATCAATATGGGTCCAAAAGTTTTAATGAACGATCGCATAGTTACAGCAAGGCAATGTTTTGGAGTCTCGCAGGACCCCTTCATCAGGCATGTGACATGGCATCCCTTCATCAGGCATGTGACATGCCTGATGAAGGGGTCCTGCGAGACTCCGAAATGTTGCCTTGCTGTAACTATGTGACTGTTCAGAGAGGGTTAGAGGACTTGGTAGCAGACTTGGTGGTCCTGTAGGGATGATGCTTCTGGAGGGAGATGGGTGCAACTGAACAGGATGGGTTCTTTGGGTTGGGGATTTCTCTAGGAGGCTAAGGGCTTTCCAGGGGCACAGGAGGTGACTGGAAAGCTCTACAGGGACTGGGGATACAGTTGGAGGCTGGGGATACTATAGGGGACTGGATGTAGCAAGCTAGGAGGCATTGCAGGGGGCTGTGGGCACTGTGGTAGGTTGGGGGGCACTGTGAAGGTTAAGGGCTGTAAGGGGGCCTGAAGGAATTGTCAGAAGTTGAGGAGGTTGGGGGGCACTTTGAGAGCTGGGGGGCACTGTGGGAGATTGGGGGATCAGCAGCTGACTGGAGGCCCAACGGGAGGTGATAGCAGCTTTTATCACAGGGCTCAAAGCATGAAAATGCATTAGACCAATGCCTCCAAGTTCTCAGCCAAGTTATTAAAGCAGCTTCACATCAACTCAGTTTTTTTAACTTCAAACAGTAAGTCAAGACTTAGGCTCAGTTCACGCTGTCGCGACTTGGGATCTAACTGAGTCCCCAAATCAAGTGGCGTCTGAAATCCCATGTTAGTCAATGAGAGCAATCTTAATTAGCACTACTGAAGTCGCTCCAACTTTAGAAAAGTTTCCTGTACTACTTCAAGGTGACTTCTATCCGACTTGCTGTCTTGGTGACACGAAACAACAGGTGAGAGAAATTCTTCTCAGTATCATTTATATTTTTTGTATTGGCAACTTTCATAAAAATAATACCTTGTGATCCTGCCATGAAGGTCCTAATTCTATCACTTCCTATTAGGGCCCGCTTATACTTGTGTTGATTTTTAAAACACATTAAAGCACTTACCACTTTAACATGCGTTTTTGATGTTATTGATGTATTTTTGATGGGTTTTTTTAAACTTTAATGGGAAAAAGGCCCTGTGTGCGTTGACTTTCCATTTTTTTCAATAAAGAGCAAAGGTAACTCTGAAGTGCTCCTCTACAGCTGTAGGTGCCATTAGGGAGCAGGGACGGACTGACCATTTGGAAACTTGGGCACTGCCCAAGGGCCCGGGGTCAGTAGGGGGCCCCATGAGATGCCCCTGGTACCTTTTCCATAGGCTTTTTTGAGTTTGGGCAAGGACACAGGGGCCCCATGATCCCCTATTGCCCGGGGGCCCCATGAGTTGTCAGTCCGCCCTTGCTTGTGCCCATAGATTTGAATGTCTCCCAAGTCGGATCTTCATCTATATTGATGTAATTTGGATCCGACATTACAGATTACATTCTCATTTGCCACAGGCAAAGTCGCATCGCATGAAAGTTGCTTCAAAGTTGCATCAAAGTACTACTCAAGTTGCCAACAAATCACCTGGAAGTCGCCTGGCACAGTCACACCATAAGGTGTGCGACTTTCAGGAGGCAGTAGAGTGAACCAAGCCTTAGGGTTAGAGCTCCGCAGACAATACTAAAATAAAAA